CACCACTCAACTTCACTCAGGGCTTGATAAGACACAGAACTCAACTACACTCAGGGCTTGGTAAGACACACCACTCAACTACACTCAGGGCTTGGTAAGACACAGAACTCAACTACACTCAGGGCTTGGTAAGACACACCACTCAACTTTCACTCAGAGCTTGATAAGACACAGAACTCAACTACACTAAGGGCTTGGTAAGACACAGAACTCAACTACTCTCAGAGCTTGGTAAGACACAGAACTCAACTACACTCAGGGCTTGGTAAGACACAGAACTCAACTTCAGCACTCAACTACTAGAGCCACCTGAGTCAGACAAAGCACTCAACTGCAATAAGGGCACAGCACTAAACTCTCAGTCTGAAAGCCATTTTAGTCAGACACAGCGCTTAACTAGTCTCAGGGCTTGATAGTAAAACAAGAGCTGTGTAAGGAGCAGGGTGCTCTAATTTTGTCAGTGCTGGAAAGTAAACTGAACACTTTCTACAAAACAATATAAATTTAAATAAGAGGTGACATTTCACATTTTTTACCTTTAAATGGGTTTTTCAGATAGAAATCATCAGAGTACATAATTTATACATCCAAATTGATTACTATGTATGTAATGTTACATTACTAATATCTAAGTTCTGTCTCACAATTTCTGGAAGAATACCATAAACAAAATTTGCTTTTTCCTTGGCCTATTGCAACTTAAGAAATCATCAAATTGTTCAAAATTCAAATCCCTGATGTATGATGAGCAAATTTTATATGACTAACATAGTAGCCTTAAAATAAACCCAATCTTATTCTGTAAATCATGTATAATTTTATTATGATCATTTCTGTTTCTAAAATATCAAGATCACAAAAGTTCAAAAATTTGGTGATCTGTCTTTAAAACCCAATCTTACTATTCATAAGAATTGAAACAACTGGTTGGTGGTATGAAGGACTTGTTAGTTGTTACAATGCACAATACTGACATCCTTACATGTTTAATTGATGAAAATATTCTGTAGATTACCTATTCACATTTTCTTAAAGCCTGTAACCAGCCAGAACTATGTTCCAACAACTTTAAATGTCAGCCTGGAACAAGCACAAGTTAAAAATAGAGACTGGTATCCATACACTTGAAATTACATTTGAGCACTAATACAAATACAATGGCATAGACCTGGAACCAAAGTAAGTTGGAGGTAGTTTCTGTTATCCTTAACATTTAAATAAGCCTGGAACCAGATCATGTCAACTGTCCCGAAACTTCTGCAGATTTCACTGGTCCTTCAGAAATTTGGTCAACTTCTGTTGTATCAGTATTCTTCCCTACAAAACAAACAAAAAATAACATCATATTTATACTTTAAAGTGTATATAGCTATATTATCTGCTGTCTGTAGTTACATGTAAGATAATTTTTGTTTTAGTTTTGGCAAAGAATTAAAATTGTCGTAGATAATGCATGTAACTGTTTAAGATCACATGGCTGTGACCTAAATAAGACTTTTAATCCATGTGTTATGAGACAACTATGAAATACTGATCCCTATCTTTAGATCTATCAACAATATGATTTAAATCAGCTCCTTAATAGATCTGACAGGAACCGAAAGGATGTCACCTTGTGAACTTTCAATCAGCCAATCAGAGAAAATCTTTCATTTCTTGATATGAAATCATTTTTTTTAACCAAAATATATTTTCACATTTCCAGAATGAGAGGACTAAAACAGTGATACCTTTGTCTTTTTTTTAAGATAAATAACATGAAATCAACAGATTAAATATGGAAAAATGATTGAACTTAATGTGTCAAATTAATTTCTGCAACAGATAATTTTATTGGTAGGCTAAAAAAGCTTAATTGAAAAATCCTAAGCAGCTGGAAGGCAAACAAGACTTTTCAACAATCATTTGACAATCAAATCTCTATGTTAAACATAAAAAGAATGGAACTTTAATCTACTTGATCCACAAAAATCTAATGTTTCTTTGAAATCAGCTCTTTCATATCTCACATGAAGAAAGCTTGCACTGAGTTTTTATCTAATGTTCTGGCAAGTGCATGTGTAACTTTATTGGGGAAAAAAATGAAACAAAATACATGTTTTATTTTGACTTTGAAATTTATTAAGATAAATATTTTCATTAAATCCTTATCACAACTTTACATTAATCAACGTTACTCTACTGGCTAATACTATATCATTACGTTGACTAGAATTGAAAATTATTTGCCTTTGCTACTAGTATAGCCTGCCCAACTGTGTTCAAAGTGGAATGACAAAAATGTATTTCAAATGTCTAAAACCAAAAAACCAAACTGTGCAGTTTTCCCAGGCTTTAATATACTGTTGGTAGCTGATTTTTTTTTTTTTATTTTTATATTGAAAGCCCTTAAAGTTTGTACTGTGCCAAATCCAAAGACTTCCAAATATGGTGTCTGGAGTTTAAACAATGCTTCTACATTAATATGACCAAATGATCTAGTTTATGACCTATATCTAAACTTCACTTAAAACTTATCAATTAGTGACTGTAAATCATGATTACTGCTATTAAATATAGACTCTAGCCTTACAAGAGCATTTACAAGACTTTCCTATCATCTAAAAACCAGTCACCTTGAAACATAATCTTGAAAGTTTGAGAACAAACATGACACAAAATAATGACTACTGTTATGGCAGGATCCAGATTTCCTTTGTTGGAGACAATGAAGACAGACAGATGAAAAAATTAAAATTATGCGCATAATTTCCATACAGCCCTCTATCAATATGATACCAAGCACCATCAATTTAGTTTTTGTTCTTTTTGACTTATTGTCCAGATTTCTTTGGATAGATAGACTGACAGTCAGTCAGACAGACAGACAGACAGACAGACAGACAGACAGAGATAGACAGAAAGGTGAAAAACTCAAAATGACAAGCATTATCTCTCTCTGGATCTTTATCTTACATACCAAGTATCATCAACCAAACGTGTTTACTTTTTGAGTTATCCCAGGATCAAATTTGTTCAGTTTTCATTGGTTTTCATCATAACCGATCATATCATATTATATCATATCATATCATCTCATATCATATCATATCATATCATATCACCATAATCATTTTTATCATTACCGTATTACTGACAAAATATTAGAAGTGTCATGTTTATCCATTTAAACAGGTACAGTCGGTTTTAAGCTATAAACCAGTAAGGCAACTCAATAACCGGAAACAAAGGTTAGTATTAGACATAGTGGCGATTTTTAAAAAAAATATTCTGAACATGACATTCTATTTGTATTTCAGTTCTTTTCTCCGACTGCATCTGATCATGTACATCTTAACGGAAAATAATTACTTTGTAATTGAACTTCTATTGTCATCATTGTTGAGTACCACAAAATACGAAATAAATTACATATCTTGTCATGAAGAAACATAAACCCTTCAAAAGTTATCCAGCAGAAACCAGTAATTTCGCAAAAGAACATTGCTTTAAATGAGGCAAAACTCTTTCAAAAATATATATATATATATATATATATATATAGGCCTGGCAACACATGGCTACATTTATTGCTACATTTTCTTTACTCTTACCTAGTCGATTTCATGTTCAATGCAGAACTGAATAACATCAATACATACTAACTTGTTTGAAGTCAACCCATGCAAATAACTTGTTCCATTCTAAATCTATTTCCCATTAACCTGGGTATGCAAATGTCCATTTACTAAGCTTACACATCCACACACAATAGCCAGGTTCTATATAGACTTCTTTACATTCAGCATGATATGGTTTAAAGAAGTAAGTGATCAATAAGAGGTAAGTTCTGTAAGGGCTTGCAGGCAAGTGTTATCAGGCACTTATGATAACAGAAAAACTGGAATAACTTAGCTATGTACATTACTTTTAGAGGTAATCCGAAATTAAGACCACCTGCCCCACTATTTTGGGCTTAATTTATAGAGAAAAACTGTGTAGCAATTCAGGAAATTTCAAAAATGTTTAAAAACGGTCTTAGACATGATTGTGTGAATTTTATTCATGTATATGATCACATCACCTGTCATTTCTTTTAAGAAACAAGCCAAAAAGCAGTTCAATTTTTTTCTAGAAGTTAGATCAGATTTATATATTTAGCAGCAGTTAGGAATATTTTTTGAAATCAGGAAAAATAGAGGTTATTTTGGATTTGGAAATCAGGCCTTATATCAGCCCCTGGTAAAAGAGTGGAAATGATGTATTTATTCAATCACAATTGGATTCTAACTATTTATTCCTCTTTAAATAAGACAACATCTGGCACATTAATACTTGTGTATATATATTTTTTTTTTACATTGATCATGATTGTAACTTTGATCTTAATTAAACACTCTTAACCAATTAAGCAAACACATAAAAGATAAAAAAAATAGTGCTAAAACTCATGGTTGCATGGTGATCACCTTAAGTCATTGCTACCATATTTTATACCCCTAGCGCTGCTTTTAAATTAGTGGCAGAAAACAGAACAGGGTAGGGTGGGTGTTGGGGTGGGGGGGGGGTGGCTGACATGTAGGACAGAGTGGGAGAATTAGATAAAGTCAACAGAAGAAAAACATGAATTTTGTCACCAGCAATACTTATAGTGTTAAGCATTAGACATAGCATTTTGCAAAATTAAAGTAAATTTCAATATAATATTGTCAAGATCCCTCAGGTAGGTGGAAAATTTTCTTTTTAATTTGTGATTTTTTTGTTTTTGTTTTTTCAGAAAAAGGGTAAAAAGTGTATTGAATAGCTGAATTTCAACCCTAAATATCATTAAATTAGGACCTTAAATCATACAGGTAAGTCTACCCAAAAACCACTTAAAGAGAGTCCGTCATAACTGACCAGCATTCAATCATTTCATTCCATTTTCCCTTGACCTATCTTTACAACACAAGTTTTACTGACATACAATTAGTAATCATTCTTACAGATAAGTAAAATAACTACTACTTACTGAATCTCTTCACGGAGAAATTTGCAATTATTTCGCTTTGAATCCTATTGATTGATTCTATCAATGGTACAAGTTTGAACATATCTATCAGCAACAGCATGTGATTACTGGGATGATTTCTCTTCATTTCAAATGCAAGAGTATCCAGTAAATGCGAGTAAAGTTGATTAACTTTATCCTTATCTTCTATCTCTAAACCAGCTAGAAAAATATATAACAATATAGTAACATTTATTAGAAACTAAATACTTAACAGCTGCATAATGAGTTTTCTAGCTAGAAAAATAAACAAGAAGGCCATGATGGCCCTAAAATCGCTCACCTGTATATAATCCCCTGGGCCAAGGCCAATTTTGACCCTAAGGCTTTTATTTGAACAAACTTTGTAGACACCCCCTAGAGGATGTTTCATGCTTAATATCTTAGCTGTAGCTATTTGGCTTTTTTAAAAGAAGGTTTTTTAAGTTTTTATTTTATACATATAAGGAAAATCAATGACCCCCCGGGGCAGGGCCAATTTTCCCCAGGGTATTTATTTGAACAAACATGGTAGACACTGATTAGATGATGTTTCATGTCAAATATTTAAGCTCTAGCTCTTTCGGTTTTCTAAAAGAAGATATTTTAAGTTTTTTCTTTTGGTTGCCATGGCAACCAGAGTTCTGCTTGGAATTAAATTCTTTGAACAATTTTTAAAGTTGACTACCAAAGTCCTGTGAAGTTTGGATGACATTGGCTTAGCAATTTATGAGGAGATGTTGTAAAGATAAAGTTTATGGACGGACAGACGCTGGAGGGACGCTGGACGAAAAGCGATCACAAAATCTCACCATGTCACTTTGTGACAGGTGAGCTAAAAAATATAGAAACATTTATACAACTAAATAGTTAAAAAGCTCAAAGAAGAGGAAAAAGCTATAAAAAGTAGAAACTAATTCTTATCAAAATATTAATGCTTTTATAAAAATAAGGAGGTTGTTCATTATGAAGGGTTATTACAGGATTATATTGATTATCAACCTGTTTTTGACTTGAGTGAATTTTGCATCAATATAATGCCACAAGGTTCAGATGCTAAAAAGTGTGACCTATTGTAGTAAATTCTATAAAATATACATGTATATATAAATACTAGATGATGTAAATCTCACAATTACCAATTTATTACATTTATATACCTCATTGTTTTAGAACAATACAGTATAAAACAAAACAGTACAGTGTCGAAAGTTAGCAAAATTTAATTTAAAATTCAAGACATTTCCCTTGGGGAAATATAAGCGAATCATGCAGAGGTTGATGACAGGTTGGTTGATATTTAAGCTAGAGGAAATTTTAGCGATTTTCATCAATTCGTGAAATTTGCCAGTAATTCCGCCGTAACTTAACCACTTTAACACATAATGTCATCATGTCTGCATATGAATAATATCAGTCCTAACATACTCTTACACAATACATATTTTCTCTCTGTCAGGTCCTATTTTCTCTGTCAGGTCATATTTTCTCTGTCAGGTTATAAAGTTTTTCTGTCAGGTCACATTTTCTCTCTGCCAGGTCATAATATCTCGATAAGGTCATATTTTCTCTCTGTCAGTGTAAGGTTATATTTTCTCTCTAAAAGGTCATATTTTCTCTCTGTCAGGTCAAATTTCTCTGTCAGGTTATATTTTCTCTCTGTCAGGTCATATTTTCTCTCTGTCAGGTCATAATTTCTCTGTCAGGTCACATTTATTCTGCCAGGTCACATTTATTCTGCCAGGTCATATTTTCTCTGTCAAGTCATATTTCTCTGTCAGGTTATATTTTCTCTCTGTCAGGTCAAATTTTCTCTGTCAGGTTATATTTTCTCTCTGTCAGGTCATATTTTCTCTTTGTAAGGTCATAATTTCTCTGTCAGGTCACATTTATTCTGTCAGGTCATATTCTCTCTGTCAGGTCATATTTTCTCTATCAGGTCAAATTTCTCTGTCAGGTCACATTTTCCCTCTGTCAGGTCAGATTTTCTCTGTTAGGTCAGATTTTTTCTCTGTCAAAAATCTGGAAACAAAGTGATCCCTCGGAAGCATTAATCACAACAAAATTAAAAGAGAACTGCAGACTCGGTTTGATTGAGTCATATTTTCTCTATCAGGTCATATTTGCTCTGTTAGGTCATATTTTTTCTCTGTCAGGTCATATTTTCTCTCTTTCAAGTCATATTTGTGTATGTGATATAAGCTGTTAATGTAGAAAGTTATAAACAAGTATAAAATAAATTCAATTTATTGCATGGGTGGCTTCAAACTATTCTTTACTTTCATCCATGATGAAGCTTTGGAAAGTTCTAGCAAAGGTACGGCATAAAGTAAATGAATCGATTTCCAGACTGAGTGACATTAACCTTGACACTAGTTACCTCAAACCCCTTCTAAGGTATAAACTAGAACTCTGCGAGTCGGATGTGTCGCCTTGTGAACAATATAGTTTAAGAGAAATGGCCAGGACAAAAATGAAATTTGAAAATCAACAAAGGGCAATAACTCAAAAAATAAGAAATGCAGATCAGCAGTTTCTGTGCACTGCACTTCTTATCAATAAGATCTATCATCCTATTAAGTTTCAAGTCTAAAGCTTTTATAATTTATGAGAAATGGCCTGGACAAAAATAAAGTATGAAAATTAACAAAGGGCAATAACTCAAAAAATAAGAAATGCAGAGTACCAGTTCTTGGGCACTGCAATTCTTCTTAATGAGATCTATCATCCTATGAAGTTTTATGTCCATAGCTTTTATACTTTAGGAGAAATGGCCTGGACAAAAATAAAGTATGAAAATTAACAAAGGGCAATAACTCAAAAAATAAGAAATGCAGAGTACCAGTTCTTGTGCACTGCACTTCTTCTTAATGAGATCTATCATCCTATGAAGTTTCAAGTCCATAGCTTTTATACTTTAGGAGAAATGGCCTGGACAAAAATAAAGTATGAAAATTAACAAAGGGCAATAACTCAAAAAGTAAGAAATGCAGAGTACCAGTTCTTGAGCACTGCACTTCTTCTTTTTGAGATCTATCATCCTATGAAGTTTTATGTCCATAGCTTTTATACTTTAGGAGAAATGGCCTTGACAAAAATAAAGTATGAAAATTAACAAAGGGCAATAACTCAAACAAGAGGGCCATGATGACCCTGAGGTCGCTCACCTGTATATAGGCCCCTGGTGCGGGGCCAGTTTAAACCCAAGGGCTTTTATTTGAACAAACTTGGAAGACACCCATTAGAAGATGTTTCATGATGTTAAGTTTTTACTACACACATATAATGAAAAACAATGACCTTACCACCCCCACCCCCCGGCAGGGCCAATTTTAATCCAAAACTTGGTAGACACCCATAAGAAGATGTTTCATGCTGAACATCTAAGCTCTAGCTCATTGGGTTCTTTAAAAGAAGATTTTTTAAAGTTTTTACTATACACATATAGTTAAATACAATGACACCCCTGGGGCGGGACCAGTTTTGACCCCAGGGCTTTTATTTGAACAAACTTTGTAGACACTTAATAGAAGAAGTTTCATGCTTAATATCTAAACTCTAGCTATTTGGGTTTTTCAAAGAAGTTTTTGCTATACACATATAAGGAAAATCAATGACCCCCGGGGCGGGGCCAATTTTGACCCCAGGGCTTTTATTTGAACGAACTTTGTAGACACTCACTAGAAGATGTTTCATGCTTAATATCTGCTTAATATCTAAACTCTAGCTATTTGGGTTTTTTCAAAGACGATTTTTTAAGTTTTTGCTATACACATATAAGGAAAATCAATGACCCCCGAGGCGGGGCCAATTTTGACCCCAGGGCTTTTATTTGAACAAACTTGGTAGACACCTATTAGAACATGTTTGATGCTAAATATCTTAGCTCTAGCTCTTTGAGTTCTTTAAAAGAAGATTTTTTAAGTTGTTACTATATGCATATATGGAAAATCAATGACCCCTGGGGCGGGGCCAATTTTGACCCCAGGGCTTTTATTTGACAAACTTGGTAGACACCCATAAGAAGATGTTTCATGGTAAACATCTAAGCTCTAGCTCAATTGGGCTTTTTAAAAGAAGATTTTTTTCAGTTTTTACTATACACAAATAGTTAAAAACAATGACACCCCTGGGGCGGGGCCAGTTTTGACCCCAGGGCTTTTATTTGAACAAACTTTGTAGACACTTACTAGAAGATGTTTCATGCTTAATATCTAAACTCTAGCTATTTGGGTTTTTTCAAAGAAGATTTTAAGTTTTTGCTATACACATATAAGAAAAATCAATGACCCCCGGGGCGGGGCCAATTTTGACCCCAGGTCTTTTATTTGAACAAACTTTGTAGACACTCACTAGAAGATGTTTCATGCTTAATATCTAAACTCTAGCTATTTGGGTTTTTTCAAAGAAGATTTTTTAAGCTTTTGCTATACACATATAAGGAAAATCAATGACCCCCGGGGCCGGGCCAATTTTGACCCCAGGGCTTTTATTTGAACAATCTTGGTAGACACCTATTAGAACATGTTTGATGCTAAATATCTTAGCTCTAGCTCTTTGAGTTCTTTAAAAGAAGATTTTTTAAGTTTTTACTAAATGCATATAGGGAAAATCAATGACCCCCTGGGGCGGGGCCAATTTTGACCCCAGGGCTTTTATTTGAACAAACTTGGTAGACACTCATTAGAACATGTTTCATGCTAAATATCTTAGCTCTAGCTCTTTGGGTTCTTTAAAAGAAGATTTTTTAAGTTTTTACTATATGCATATAGGGAAAATCAATGACCCCCTGGGGCGGGGCCAATTTTGACCCCAGGGCTTTTATTTGAACAAACTTGGTAGACACTTACTAGAAGATGTTTCATGCCAAATATCTAAGCTCTAGCTCTTAGGGTTTTTTAAAAGAAGATATTTAAAGTTTTTTCTTTCGGTTGCTAGAACATGTTTCATGCTAAATATCTTAGCTCTAGCTCTTTGGGTTCTTTAAAAGAAGATTTTTTAAGTTTTTACTATATGCATATAGGGAAAATCAATGACCCCCTGGGGCGGGGCCAATTTTGACCCCAGGGCTTTTATTTGAACAAACTTGGTAGACACTTACTAGAAGATGTTTCATGCCAAATATCTAAGCTCTAGCTCTTAGGGTTTTTTAAAAGAAGATATTTAAAGTTTTTTCTTTCGGTTGCCATGGCAACCAGAGTTCTGCATGGAATTAAATTCTTTGAACAATTTTTAAAGGTGACCACCAAAGGAACATTCCTGTGAAGTTTGGATGAAATTGGCTTAGTGGTTTATGAGGAGATGTCATTTAAAGTAAAAGTTTACGGACGACGGACGGACGGACGGACGCCGGACGAAAAGCAATCACAAAAGCTCACCCTGTCACTTTGTGACAGGTGAGCTAAAAATAAGAAATGCAGAGTACCAGTTCTTGTGCACTGCACTTCTTCTTAATGAGATGTATCACCCTATGAAGTTTCAAGTCCATAGCTTTTATACTTTAGGAGAAATGGCCTGGACAAAAATAAAGTATGAAAATAAACAAAGGGCAATAACTCAAAAAATAAGAAGTGCAGAGTACCGGTTCTTGTGCACTGCACTTCGGGTCATTATAAGAAGCAGGCATACCAAGTTTGAAGTCAATCCGACTTATAATGACTGACTTATGCTCCGGACAAGCTTTAGGATACGCCGACAACGACGCCGACAACGATGCCGACAACGACGCCGATGACAATAACGACACCGACACCGCCGACAAAAGTAACCCCTATATGTCGCCTTTTTCAAGGCGACACAAAAAGTAGCATAATCTATTAGAAGTGTTAGTGACCTTGACCATCATAATATCAAACCCCAAATAACAGGTATCCATTAGGTATAACTGTATATCAATAATCTGTAAGTTTAAGAATATATCGTTTTTTTGTCCTTGGACATCCTTGACCTCATTGAATTTAGTGCTTCATGTAAAGAATTTATGTGAAACTTTGTAATAATGGTCAGTGAATAGATATATATGACAAAAATAGAATATAAGATTCTGAGCAATGCAAGTGACCTCTTTCTTACAACTGAGCCAATTCTGAACATAGAAGCATTATTTGTATAAACTTAACTTTATGTACAAACTTAGTAGAAGTCTACTAAGTAAATAAGTAAAGTTATACAATTAAATTAATTAAGCCTATACAATTATAGTTTCTTACAAGATTTTTGAAATTATCAGGATTTTTTCCAGGATTTTGGGAACATGACCCATACCCATGGAATTGGGAACTTCAGCGATGTTTTGTTAAAAATTAGGAAAAAATGCATAAATCAAATTTTGCAAAGATTAAATGAATGCAAAGAATCAATGTCTAAGATGGCATCTTCAAACATTTAAGCATCATAACAGTGAAGAGGCCCTTACATTTTCAAAGATTCTAGAATTTGTTATTCAATATTTTTATTTTGTAACTTTCAATTGGGAATTTTTTAATGTGGATTGAGAAAATAACGTACTATTTTCAATTGGGAATATGACCGAATATCGACTATAAAATAAGCCAAAAAAATCCCTGAAATATTATTCTGCCACCAAAGACTAGGCCAACCTAGCATTTTCTAGTTCAAGTGACAACTACAGCCACATTAAGTATATTTAGGCCTCCTTTTACCAGTTCGAGCTGCAAAGTTGACACATGACCATAACAGTATTTGGTGTGATTTTAAACTCACAAGGAAGAAGAAAACAAAAGAACCGTACTTGTTGTAGTTAGTCTAACAGCTGAGAACAAAGCTGTCTCTAGATCTGTGACCTCTAGTTTATTGTACGACTCAGCAAAAACCATGATAGTGTCAACCATTTCATCATTGAGAATTTTCCTCATGGCCTCTGCAGAATAAATCTCCCCAGAAGGAAGTATCCAGAAACTTCGTCCATTTTGAAAATACTCTGCATATGACAGCTGAAATGTTAATAAAACCTTTTTTATTTCAATGAAAGCATGAATAATCTAAAGATAGTATGAATATTTCTTTAAATATCTACATTTGTTTTCAAAAGTTTTTTGGGTTTTTTTTTAACAAGAGCTATTCCACCATCGTTTAATACCGACGGTTGATTAACATGTTAATGTTAGTATTGTTCAAGACTCGGCCGTGGGTATCCAACAATGTATTTCACAGACAGTAAATTTGACTTCTCTCAGTGCTTGATAGTAACTTTAAAACCACACAAGGATTTCCTAAATTTACAAAAAATTGAAAATATCAGACAATATGTATGCTAGAGTTATGTGTCTTTGTCAGTGACCCATAATAATAATACTTTAGTTAAGTTTGAGGTTTCAACAGTGGTTAACCCTTTACCGAAAGTGATTAGACTGTGCCACCAGTATAGAGCCCAGCCAGACTGTATCAAGATAATAGTAAAAGCACAATTTTGATATTGAAATCCCTAATGACTGTTTAAAATTAAAAGCAGGGAAAATCCTTTTCACAAATTTAGTATATTTAGGATTTATCAGATATGAAGATGTATGCACAAAAAATGTTAATAGATAAAACAAGAACATGTTTGGTATACACAACTGCTGCCCATCCATGGTATGTTCCTTCCAAGTATATAAAATATCAGTCAATAAATAAAGGCTGTATAAGCATTTATAGAAATCTATTATTCACACAATTGACATTGACTCTTTACTCCATTCAAAGAAAGAAAACCACACCAGTTATGTTCCTACCAAATATATGAAAGACATCAATTTAAAAAGGAAAGTTGTATACATAGAAGTGTAAATATCTATTCTAGCACTGGTTACCTTGACCCTACTGAACCCTTACCCCACCCAAAGGTAGAAGACTAAGTTATGTTCTTCCTATCTGTCAATAAAAGTTAGGGGACCATTAAAGGTACCAGATATGGAAGATATTTTTATCTATTATATTTATATTTATTATAGTTATGTAACTTGCCAAGATCATGTATTTTGTATTTTAATTAGTGTGTAAATTATGAAGCCACTGGTACAGGTAGAACACTAGTGCTGGTAACAGCTTTTTTCAGCTTCTTAAAAATTATTTCCTATTGGTTTTTAAAAGGCCATTTGTTAACATGTCAGTGTCCTATATATGCTTTAATATACAAGAGGACAAAATAATCTACCAGTGTCACAATTATAAACCCAGTCCTTGATTCAGCTGTCATCTACATCAATATTGTCCTCTATAACTGACACATTTATCACAAAGTAACGAGAACACAGTTCTTTCTGTCACACAAAGTGCACTGAATGTAAATACTTTATTGGCAAATCACACTGATCATCTATTTTTATTCGAAGGATTTGCCTTTCTGTAGAAATCTATACCATTCAGAAATTTCAGAGATCAAAATACAAAACTGGTTAGAAAGCACCAACTATACAGACTTGACAACTGTCTCCATGCAGATGTCATCTGTTTCTAGTATTTATATTGTCATGACAACAAGATAAAGGTGATAATTATATCTTACAGTCCACATATCATAGTATGATCGTTTCACAAGTTTCTCTCTGTCTTCTTTACATAGATCAAGGAAACCAGGAACACTTTCACAAAACCCTGAAATAAAAAAAAATCATTTATACAAGTGACTGTCTATTGTCACAAAAACATGTCTTCTGCCAATATTATGTATGCAGAAAAACAACAACAAAATTCTGCCAAAATATGATCAAATCCAAACAGTATGCACCAGGAGTACGTGTCATTGATAGTTCTAAATCTGAAATCAGTCTTAGGACCAAAACTGAGACAATTTGCGTTTCAAAAAAAAAAAATGTCCCAACATATGACTCCTAAGTTATAGCTCTTAACAGTATTAACTTAAGTCCTAAAGTTTGTTGTATGTCCTATGACTTAGGATACACTTACGACTTCCTATGAAACGCCGCCAAAGGCACTTCAAGACAATCATATGGATGGAATTAAATTAATTCTGACCAATAAATACCTAACTTTCCAACATTAAATAGATAATAGCATCTTTGAAGTCAAAGAAAAAGCATTTATGTCAAACAAATTCAAGAAATGTAATGTAACCTTGAATACCATGGTATGTCACTTCCTGCAATCATGTTCTCTCATATGCATGTTTCACACCACCAACTTAATCACATTTTCATGTGGTTGAAAGACCCCCATTAAGTACCCATTTTGACAGAAAGACAATACTTGGAGGTGTTTTTGTCTACAAAAATGCTGGAAAGATTGTTGACCGCACGAAGGATATAACATAAATTGTTCTACCTCTGATGCTCGAACACAGATTGCTTGATTAGAAATATAGTGAAAATCACATCTTTTTGGTCAAGCCCAAAAAAATCAACAAAAGTTGCTAAAATCCACTGATCACAGGCAATTTCCTTATTAGACCTTAGACTTACATGGACAAGGGTTTTAGTAAAAGTATAACTTAATAGGAGTCATCTACTAGCCACAGGCAATGTCCCTTTAAAGTTAAGCTTCATAATTCTCAAGTTATTGATCACATAAGTTTTTGACTGGACAAGGATTTTACACAGCATCACTGGACATTGACCTTTAACCTAATAACCTTAAAATGCTTATAGAGCATACACTGTCAATGGGGAATGTCTGTACCAAGTTACATAAACCACAACTTTTACATTCTCAAGTAACCTGATCAGAAAAGAATAACAGGAAAATATGCACACTAACACCAACCACCTCTAGGTATGCTACCTACTTTTTAAGATAGTGTAAAAAAAATGAGAAAACAGGCCAGGGTGACTATATGACAGCTCTCTAGCATGAATGTGACAAATGAAATGGGCCAAATCTGGATTTTCAGCTAGATTTTGAGGCTCAAAACTGGAATTTTTTATTGACTAGAATTTCAATGGGTGTTTGGCACATTTGGTTCAAAGAATCTATATTACCCTCAAAATCATTAAATGATTATACTTTTTATGATTTTTTTGTTGATCAATATTAATTTATTTCACCAAAAAATAAATAAATAGATAAATAAATAAGTGTAGTCATACAGGCTATTTCTAAAACAGTCATATTTTCACATTTCATTATTTTCAGTTTGAATAATTATACCTGTCTTTTCAGTCATACAATAATTGGCTAATAATTTAAATCACAAGCTATTTGAAAACGTGCAACAACTATTCATGAACATAAGACTCTGACAGTTAAATAACGTTACATAAATAGAAGACTCAAAATAAATGCAAGAATCGTTCCGTTAAATCCACATTTTTGCCTCAATAATTGTGTAATTCCTAAACAAAACAAAAAAATTACCCACTCACTAAAAATAGGTTAATTAGACATGGTTTTGCTGCATCTCAAACAGGTTTTTGAATGATCCACTTTAAATGATTCTGCTCACCTTTAATCTTTATCAGTGCGGCACTTATCAAAGAAAATCAAAGGTTGAGCCAAATTCATACATGTAAATTAACAGGGTTGTTTTGATGACGTAGCATGTAATACCTACTGCCAAATTATAAAAGAGGTCAATTGACTGACACACGACACGTGTTGAGTTAAACATATGGGAATAACTTTGGGTGATGGAACTGTTTATTACGTCACCTTGCTGTCAATTAGCGACTCAAAATTTAATCCGCTATAATTTTAGGATATGGACAGATAGTCAGATAACAATCAATGCCGGGAGGCCTAGTTTACATTTTAGATACAGGTGCTGTGTTTGATTTTTTTTATGTTGATTTTTTTTTTTTTGTAAATATCAGGAATTCAAGCAGTAATATCGGGAATTGGGATCAGTGTCGAAATAATGGGATTTTTTAAATCCCGCCAGGATATCACATGTACTAGTATGCTCTAGTTATTAAGTATAGTCAAACTAAAAACAAACAAAAAATTACCAAGAATTCTTTCATTTAGACCAGATATTCCTTGCATCAATTTTTCATAAATTGCAGCACAATGTTCATCACTGTCAGTTAATATCTGTATGTGAATCTGAAATAGATAATTGAAGCAATGCCTTTAGTAAGTGGGTATGGCTAGGCGGGGATATGGTAGGGTAATGTAGGGTTAAGAGAGGTAAGGCAAAGGAAAGTGAGATAAAGTAAGGTATGAGAGGGAAAGGCACTTTGAAAGCTTCTTTGAACAGAGACAGACTTGGTTTGGTTTAAATATATTTATTTAAGCTTGATTGCGAAACATGTTCTTTCAACTTATATCAATCACTTTCAAGTCCGCTTCCTGGAACTAACCAGTACTGGTCTTATGAAGAAACATGATGGTGACCCGATTAGGGCTCAAATCCATAATCCCTGTGTTCAGAGGCAGAAACTTTAATCACTTGGGCACCACTCCCCTCAGAGACAGAGTATAGTAAATATCAAACAAAGCTCAGCTTAACAAGAGGGCCACAAACTGCTTTTCGATTACATTCCCGCAACACAAACAAACAATACTCGTATTTTAATACCAAAAATACTAAAATTCATTATTGTTTAAATAAATAAATCAAGTTTACCTGCCCTTGTTTGAAGAGGCGGATTTTCTCTCTGTGTTCTGGTTTGAAGCGGTTTAATATTTTCATTGCCAAGTTCATACAATTTATTGTCGCTAAAATCTCTTCATCACTCTTTGTTTCTTTGACTTCTATGTTTTCTTGACTTACTGTGCTTGATACAACACTGTCAGATATTAAAGAATTATTCAATGCCATTTGTTTGACAGTGTTTATGAATGTCCTTGCACACAAGCCTTGATTAGATACAGACACTGGCTTCTTATAAGTGGATTCATTCTGCCCATTGTATGGAGCCATTTCATTCTTCAATCCTTGCCGAATGTTGGAGTAAGCAGAATTGTGATTAGCTGCCATGTTTTGAGGTTGAATTTGACTTGATGGCACAGGCTCTTTTGGCAGTTGAACGGGATGAATGTCATGGTTACAAGAGATCTCTAAAGATGGGATTACTCAGTGCCTGAAGGAACAAATTTATCATGTGAATTCATTCGAACATTTGAAGTGGATAAACTTCCTTGTGATGAATTAATTACATGATTTGTTCCAGACTGGTATAACATTAACGGACTTGGTTCTCTATTTGTTATGTGTTCAGGTTTATCCCATTCCTTAGATGTCATGAACATTTCAACAGGTTTTTCGACATCCAAATTTTCAAATGATTCTTTTAACTCTGTTTCTTCAACACAGCGCTTTTTCTTAAGTAATGGGGCTTCATTTTTATTACAAGAATTGTTCAAATCCTTCAAAAATCTATTCATACTCTCTAATTTATCTTCAGGTAATTTACTCAATATTTCACTTTCACCAGAATGTTTGGAGGATCTTTCAGATGCATCATTAACAAGTTTTAATAACCTTTCCACAACTTCGGCCTGAGGTGTGTCTAATTTCTTTTCAAGGCTTCTTGCAAATGTTGCCACCTGATCACTTTCAAGCAACTGATCTAAAAGTATTTGAATGATAGCTGTACTATAACCACTTCGTTGACTAGAATTACTTCCTTCACGACTTAACACACTCCCAGGTGAAGAGCATCTTAAATTTTCAATGGACTCAGCATAGTTATCTATTTCTGTTTTCAATGTTTCAGACTGATATTCTTTGAGGGCATTCGTGTCAGTGTCATTTGTAGGTCTTTTATGAGGCAGCTTTTGAAATGAACCTTGTGCAGCATCAGTTGATTTTACAGGACTCTGTTGCACTGCATGGTCCATCTTTAATAATAAGCTTTCAGCATTTCTATTCATGGGTGTCATTTCATAATCTAATTTGACATCATTATTTAAAGGCAAATTGCCTGCTGTAAAACCATAGCAGCACTCAGGAGGTGATTTACTAACAGTAGCAGATGGTATATGAAGGCTGGGATCTTTCTTGTGTAAAAACTGTTGAAATTGCTCTTTGTTGTATATTGAATGAAATCTGGGACTCATGTCTGTATGAAGTCTAGACTGGTTTACAGAAGGATTTGTAGAATGTTGTTTCATGGTATTAAAATGTGGAACAAACTGTGATTCAACAGCTGTACCAGTCTGTGTCACTGATCTTACATTTATTTTCTGCCCTGTAATTTCACTATGAGGAAAAGAACTAAAATCTGGATTACCACAAGGGGCATGCCTACTATTTGAATCATAATTCAGATCATATCTATGATGACTAGCTAATGTATTTTTGTTACATTGCCATTGTTCAAAATTTCTGCCTGTCTTGGGATACATGGCTTCACATGTATTAAAACTATCAAAAGGCACTTTAAAATTGTCTTGCTTGTACCTAGACAGGAAATCATACTGCTCACTATTATGTCCACTATCTGAGGAAAATCCTATCTGTTGACTTTTAGTAGAATTAACAAACTCTTGTGAACTAATGCTTAATGACTTATCACACAACCTTTGACCTGAGGGGTAATTTAGTTGGTCTGGCATTGTCTGACTGTTGAGGTACTGAGGAAATTCGTCAGAAACTCTAGCTGGATTTTCCGTAACACAAGGGTGAGTCAAGTTCCTAGACATTTGCATTGATGTGTAAGGGTAATTTCCCTTTATTATTTGTTCAGTTTCCATCAAACCAGTGTCTTGTTGTATCTCAAAATCACTTGGCACAGTCTCAGGACTATCAGACTGGACATCTGCCTTTGCATGTTGCAACATCTGAGTGGACTGATCATGTGAACCAGTCTGAGGGGAGTTATTTCCCTCATCTTTTGGATTGATCTTAAAATCGTAAGTTCCTGTGCCAGTCATTTCCACTTCAATCTCTAAATTTTTGAAATCTGATCCACCCTGGTGAAAAACTTCCAAGGCTTTCTCCTTCTCTACCTTTGGTATACGTCCCATTCTGACAGCTGTAAAATACAAAACAAATGCAGTAACTGTATATAATTCCTCATTACATGACTTGTAGAATCATTATTTTTAAAGTAGTATACACTTAAGAAGCTTTTGTGTATAAGTTTCTTCTATAATTTGAATCATATGATCATTCCTACTTTCTGAGACATTTTTTATTTGCTTCTATGTCAGATTGTGAAAAGATGAAAAAAGATAAACAAAGGAAAATCAATGTTCAGTTGAGCTTGCAAAATGCAAGATCTCTTAGATCCCATTACAAGCTTAACTCTAAGAGAACTATCAGTGGTATCAACAAGTCTTGATTTTTTTTTATTGGGTTTCAGTCGCACCAAAACTGATTATAATTATGCTGACTTTCAAGCTTTACTGGTACATTATTTCAGGCACAAACGGGCACCTGAGTAGAACCACCAATGTTCCAAAAGCTGGATGGCTTTCTCACATGCAAAATCCAAAGATGCTTGCATGGCTCAATCCTACAGCAATGAGAGGCAAGTAGTCAAACAAGTCAACAACCTTAACCAATCCCCCATGAAAGTAGTGTAAAAGTGTTGGGATTTCACTAACAAATCAGTGTCTGTTAATTTGACATTTTTAAGACATCAACAATTTTCTATAATTTCCTTTAACAAATTGCCAAAGCTGTGATAATTACTGTGTCATCAGAATATAATATTCAGTTATTTTAAGCACTAATTTCTTTTTTGAAATTTCACAGGAGAATCTTGAGTTTCATTTTTTACTTTTTTATTTATTTTTTTTTGGGGGGGGATTTTTTTTGGGGGGGGGGGGGAAGAGAACATATTTTAACACATTAAACTTTTCAGCAACAAAAAAAAATCAATTTTCTTTGATGATGAGCAAATCAAAAATATCTCTGTTAACACTTTAAATCATAAGTGTGACATTGTCTTGTCTATGGCCAGGCCAGCTTTCAGTACAATACAGGCTATGCTCTACATGTAGGCCAGTATTAAAAATATCTTTCTTTCATCCCTAGCTCTCACATTCCAGGTAGGTAAAAAAATTATTTTACCCTATTTATCTTTATTGAACATCTGAATTATACAAATTTAAAAGTAAACAAAAAAGGTAAAATTGAGACTGATCTTTTTTAATACATTAACATGAAGGTAGAGTTGTAATCAAGTATGAAGATATTCCATTTATAAATAACAAAATTACGACCAGTTATAGCAAAACACGGAGCAAAATTCAATAATTTGGAACTTTAAGGTCAAGTTCATTTGACTGGTTAATTTAGTTCTACTTGAAGGTCTTGTCCAAAAGATTGTTGTGGTCAATTTGTAGACAGTTCATTCATAAATGACAAAGTTATTGCCATTACAGCAAAAATCAAAAGCAAACTTAATTATTTTGACCATAAAGGTCAGGGTCATTTATCAGTCGGGATCAAGCTCGGTCTGGTCTATTTGAAGAACTTGTCTAAAGGATTGTTGTGTTCAAGTATGAAGATAATCCATTTAGAAATTAAAAGATAATGGCGAATGTTAAAGTATTTGGACAGCATCAAATAACCTGTTGCATTAGATGAAAAAATCATGTTATGTGATGTTATTCTAATTGACACACTCTACATCCAATTTTAGTAAAAAATATTTTTAGTTCGCAATATTATTTTTTGGGTAGCTGTAATTTTGCAGGTAGGTAGCAGGACGGGAAACAAAAGATATTATATTTTAGGCCTTATATCATTTACCCCATCATTTACAATGAACTGTTGTCTGTTCCAAATTTAAATCACACATTCTATTTCTCTTTATTGATTTTCACCAGGTTAACAATGACTGTAAAATATGTTCTTAAGTACAGTATTTACTTTAACAAACTTGAAAAGTCAATAAAATAACCCTATAACTTCTATAAAGGAGAACTATCATTAAACATTTTTATTTTATTTACTTTCTTTCCCTTAAATATAAATTAATTTAGGTTAAATAAAGAACAGAACTTTATGTTGTAAAAGTTCTTATTTTTTACAAAGTTACTCATATATTCAAAGAAAGTTGTTTCTTTCTAAATTTAATTTCATGGTGTGCTTGAAAAAGTGGCATAATACATAAATTCATTGAATTTAGGTCAATGTACTCATTTAACAACACCGCCTTGCCATAATATTATCAAGTATTCCACGTCCTATATTGAAACCTTTCATAGTTTTCAAGTCATTCCATTAAATAAGCAATTTTGACCCAATAAGTTAACAAGCAATTATCAAAGTAATGCAAGCAATACAAAAGTCCCCTATCTGTAAGAACAGGTAAGAAGTTTGTCAGCAACATTCTGAAGGGCTATGGCCATTCCAACAGAAAATCCAACAGAAAATCCAACAGAAAATCAAGTTTTCTCGGGATCAGTATGTATAATTAATGATTCAACTTTGCTCTATTTTAAGTAAATTTGTTGGAAGTATTCCAGACAGATGGACAGACAAACAACTACTCTTTAGCAGACAATAGTCAGCCAAGAATAGCTCATTTTCAAAAATTAAAATTCACTCCTCAAGTAAAACTCAATTTGAAAAATTAGTATTAACTCCAAGGCAAGATATAATTATACTAAGCTTATCCAAAAGATATTGAGTACTGACTTTATCCACATGGTAAAGGATTTTTCAAGTTGCAGTCAGACCTATTGTATACTGAATGAACCATTAAAGGTAAAGGAATAAAAAATTCTTTAAAATGAAAGCCTGTCTAGCTCAGTAGTAAATACTTAAGTGGCCAGCCATTATTATGTCTTGCACTCAAAAAGTTGAAAAAGATTATATTGACAGTTGAAATTTTAGATAACATACCCATATAATGCATGTAATATTAATAATACGACAATGTAGACTTCTCTATGTCTCAGTGTAAGAGTAGAGTAACAGAGAGAACCACTAGCCTTGTCTTTTAATAGGCAACTGAAAAGGGGCTTTGCATATTTTTGAACAATAATGTCTAATGGACCGCTTTTAAACATCAATGAATGGGTTTTTTTGTCATTTTTCAACTAATTTACTGAGGGGCTCTTTATTGAGTGGCCTAAATGCATGCATTCATTACAACCCCATGTATCATTTTTAGTAAGTAGTAAATTTAAATCAAACAGAATTTCTTTCATTATTTTGTTAATCCTTACCTTCAACAGACATTCCAACATCCAGGCATTTTCTGAAGCGACATGATTTGCAGCGGTTTCGGTTTTTCGGTGTCAGGTCACATTCCCCACCAAAGAAACATTTATATTTATCTCCCCTGGTAATACTTCTCTTGAAAAAACCCTGCGTAAAAATTAAAGAAATGACTTCAAATTGCTAATAAACTTGTCCACCTTAATATCTATTAAGTTTTATCAACTTCATTGGGCCGGACAATTAAATATATATATTTGAAAGAATAAATCCTCACAAAAAAATAAATTCTTAACATTTTGTTTTGTTTCTTTGGTTTTACAGCACACAAACACATAATTTTGGCTAAAATGACAAAGCAACACCAGGGGTCAAAACCAGCTCACTTGCTGGAGTTTAGAGATACATAGACTCAAGTTATTTGAACCCATGTAGTTTCCTCTCGCTATCACCCAGGAATAGATGGTGGTGCTGCATTTCTTAATTGCCTAAACCATTAAAGGCAACCCCTCAGCCACAAGGGATCTGGGCTTGGTTTTACACAGGTTTGACTGTACCCAGTGGAAAAGAAGATAACTACATGTATATATTATTAAGACCATGCTTCATAAGCTAATTTATAACCATGGTTACCTGGTATTCAATACCAAGCTTTTACTCTTAACAAGTATTGGTGATGATCATGAACATTCCACTAACACCTTGCTGAACAATATACATTGAATTTCCAAATCAAGAATAATCAGAATTTTTTCCAATACAAGAGAGCCCAGAGGGCCCTGGATCCGTCATCTAAGAAATAGGTCAATAGGTCAAAGTAGAGCCCCTTTTCACCCCAGAAGCACAATTTGAAAACAAGGGACAGTTTAATCTAAACAATTTTTGTACACTGTCACCAAGAAAATTTTTGTGTAAAATTATTTCAAAATTGAACCAGTGGCTGAGATGTTGTTTAGATGTTGTTTTCTAATTTTAGCTCTGGCAGCCATTTTATTAAACAGTTCAGCCTGTCACTGTGAGTGGTGAGCTAATAAAATGATGACGGAAAAAGAAGGAAAACAAACATTTGACCTACTGTCGACCTCGATCCCCTGGGGTGTAGCCAATTTTGACCCTTGGGGTTTTATTTCAACAAACATAGTAGACAATAGACATACACTAGAACATGTTTCATGCCAAATATCTAAGCTATACCTCTTTTGGATTTTAACAAGAAGATTTTTTAAGTTTTTACTATATACATGTACATTAAAGGAAAATCAATGACCCTGGAGCCGTGCCAATTTTGACCCTTTCTAATAACCAGAGTGTTAATATGGAAGACCTGCTTAAAAAAACAAACATAACAAAAAGATTGTCAGTAAAGGCATTAAATATCTCCAAATTCTTCAATTACAAAAACAACCAGCCTATACAGGTGAAGTTAACATTATGAATGCTAATTATGAGTTGCTGAATGCTGGTTTTTTTTCCAATTTGTTCTGTTCTGTTCCCTTATTCTTTCCAAAATAAGGAAAGTCTCTGGTACTTATGTATCATGTGTGACCTATTACAAAATAATATGAAATTATTATTAAATAATAATGGTATTCACAAAATAACCCTACCTTGCAACCTTCACATGTGGTAACCCCATAGTGAACCCCTGTTGCCTTGTCTTTACAAATACGGCAAATACCAAATGGGAATGGTATAGCTCCTGGCGGCATTATCATCAATCTTATCCTCGGCTTCTTCTACATCATTGTCCAAATAACACAGCAATATTCACTGAAGTGAGAAGTAAACAATTGCTTTAATATAAGTAAATATGGGCAAATTCGGTTTTTATAAGAATAACTGTCCAACAGCTTTCCTCAGAATTTGACAGTAGTCTTTGAAAATTTGTAATTAAAGAAAAGAATAAAATGTAAGTCAAGAAAAAGATGTGAAGTAATTAAAGTTTGGGAGTAATTATCTCAATAAGTTGTAAATAAGTGGGATGGCGTAAACACAAATATATACATTTCGTAATGCTTAAGAAAGGAAACTGCTTGGTTACAAAGGTACAAAAATACTGAGTACAGAAGTGACAGACATGAAAAACATATGCTTCTACATCATATTGCTTTCACCCAATATTGACAGTGTGATTGCACAATGTTTAAATGATTTTGTCTGAATGATGAAAAAAGTTCCAAGTTAACACCTTCAAAAGATTATCCACATAAGTCTTCTTCTTGTCAACAATTCAAATTTCCAGAGTTACCTCTCTTGTCTATGCACTTCTTTCTTTTCCATATCATATTTTTTAGAATATCTCATATAACATTTTATACACTGCATGCAGTAGGCAGGCCTCTACTCTTAACATTTAAAGCAGGTGGCTAGCCAGACCACTGGATTTGAATTTTAGGTGGTCCTTACATAAAAAGGCCCACCTTTAGAATAGTGTGAGCATTTCATGTTCGCGTCTTATTCTTACTGTTATTTAAATGTTCATTTTTATAGATCAAGATCTTTAATAAAACTAATGAATTATCTTATTATAGTTGAACATTATTCTCTCAAACTTGGATTGTTTGAATGACCTTCCTTCGCTCGAACCTTACAAAATCCCTATATAATATCCATGTATTTTGTTCTACCATGAATTGCTCAAACACTGATTGCTCAAACTCTCAAACCTGATCCCTAGTCCCCCATCGGCAGAAATATATATTTTTTCCATGGAACACAAAAGGACAACAAAAGTTACAGGTCAATTCCCTTTCAATTGCAAACTGTCTGCGTCATATGTTTTTAACATCTTGTAATGGCAATTAAGATTAACTGATATAAAGGAGGGTTGTTATTCATTAGACCACAGCTGTTTCCTCTCGGCCAATCAGAGAGGTTTAAAAGTGTTTGATATATCAAACATCACTGTAAAGTGTTTGATATAACTATCAAGTTTGTATTCAACTGAAAGGAAAACCGTTATGTGCACGCTATATACAGCAAAATTTTATATGTTTATAGTAAAGAAAATAGTGTAATTCCCTTCTTAAAAACAAACAGATAGCCATAGTCCTTTGACCAATTTATTTCGACATTTCATCATTTTACAAGAATAGTTACTGTATTTATAAATAAGAAAAAAATAGCAATAATGAAGTGAAATGCGTTTATCAATCTATTTAAATCTATATATGTATCTAAATTTTACGACCGCTTTTGTGCTAATATTTTCAAGCACTGTGATTTCAATAATCGCATCCTGAATTATGCCCGGCTCACTCTTAATAGCAGACACTGTAGATGTACATTCATTTACTGGTTTGGGAATAGGGGATTCCACTGGTGGGCAAGGGGCTGGAGTTTCGAACAGTGACTGGAGGGACGTTTGTAATATTTTTTAAGTTCATGAATGAGGTAAACTAGAAATGTGTCCATAGGACACGGATGCCCCCACACGCCACTGTTCTGTCAATCTTATGACTCTAGGTCAAATATTTTTTGGTCTAAATGTGCCACAAGTTGAAAACTAAAAATCAACAAAGGGCCATAATTCTGTTAAATTTGGTTGCAGCAAAACTTCCTTCCTTTACTGCCATCTACACATTAAGGTTGTTAATCCCTGGAAGTTTAAGCAAAATCTGCCATCCGGTTTAAGAGGAGTTGCGTTCACAAAATTTCTACATAGTATATAATGAAAATCAACAAAGGGCCATAATTCTGTTAAATTTGGTTGCAGCAAAAATTCCTTCCTTTACTGCCATCTACACATTAAGGTTGTTCATCCCTGGAAGTTTAAGCAAAATCTGCCATCAGGTTTAAGAGGAGTTGCATTCACAAAATTTCTACATAGTATATAGTGAAACAAGAGCTGTCAGAAGGACAGCGCGCTCGACTTTTTTAGTGCTTGCCTATAAAACAAAACTTTGACAGTTAAGGGCACACAAGACTTTAACTAGGAATTTCTAAGTACAAATCAAGAAACATTTTCACAGAGTTATCTTCTCTTGCTTACAGATAGGTCTCATGATGGCACATAAGAACTCCAACTTCCAAAGTAATATCTCAAATGGTTAAGTCAACAAGTGGACAAGAATGAAAATCTTAACTGAGTTTCTAAGTCAAAAAGGGCCATAATTCAAATAAAATCCTTAACAGAATTACCTTCTCCTGCCCATGTTTTGGGACCATGATGGTAAACAAGTATTCCAACTTTCAAATTAATATCTCAAACAGTTCAGTCAAAAAGTGGACTGGTACTAAAAACTTAACCAAGATTCTAAGTCGATAAAAGGCCTTAATTTTTAAAACAAATCCTTGACAGAGTTACCTTCTCTTGCGTACAGATGGGGTAATGATGTGAAATAGCATTAAAAGTTTCAAAGCAATATCTCAAAGGGTTAAGGCAATAAGTGGATTTTACCCATATTCAATGTATTTTCTAAGTCAAAAAGGGGCATAATTCTGTCAAAAACCTTGACAGAGTTATGTCCTCTTGTCTGTTGATGAAGGTCGTGATGGTAAACAAGTATGGTCAGTTTCAAAGCAATACCTCCAATGGTTTTGAAATAAAGTGAGGTGGTACAAAAAACTTAACCAAGCTCAATACACTTTCTAAGTCAAAAAAGGGCCATAATTCTGTCAAAAACCTTGACAGAGTTATGTACTCTTGTCTGTAGATGGAGGTTATGATGGTGAACAAGTATGGTAAGTTTCAAAGCCATACTTGTAATACTTCTGAAATAAAGTGGGGTGGTACGAAAAACTTAACCAAGGTGTGACGCCGACGCCGACGCCGGGGCGAGTAGGATAGCTCCCCTTTTCATAGAAAAGTCGAGCTAAAAATCAACAAAGGGCCATAATTCTGTAAAATTTGGTTTTGCAGCAAAAATTCCTTCCTTTACTACCATCTACACCTTAAGGTTGTTCATCCCTGTAAGTTTAAGCAAAATCTGCCATCCGGTTTAAGAGGAGTTGCGTTCACAAAATTTCTACATAGTATCTAGTGAAAAAATCAACAAAGGGCCATAATTCTGTTAAATTTGGTCGCAGCGAAAATTCCTTCCTGTACTATCATCTACACATTAAGGTTGTTCATCCCTGTAAGTTTAAGCAAAATCTGCCATCCGGTTTAAGAGGAGTTGCGTTCACAAGATTTCGGGATGTACGGACTGACGGACAAGTGCAACACTATATGCTCCCACATTGTGGGGGCATAAAAAAAGTCAATGCAGGATGTATATAAAGCATACAATAAATAAACAAACAAATCTATAAGTCAAGTAAAATATTTTCAACTTCAGCCGGCCAACCAATAAGTATCCTGAACCCTATGGTTCTTTAAGCATTACGGAAAACGTTTAATGAAAGTTACCTGCCCGTTTCTCCAACGAGCCCACTCTTAATAAGCAGCCATCGCCCAAGAGTATATTTCAGTCAGCAGTCTTGCTTCTTTACTTCTTATTCAAGCGCTGTGTACGGTGTTATGTCATTAAATCATTTAAATGAGGAATCAACAGGAATAACAACAAAATCTCTCATGTTAGGAAATTGTAATGTTATCACATTCAGAAAATGTGTATCGATTATTGATCAACAGAAGAATATCAACGATACATCGATATCGTCTCTAGCGATGACAGTTCTAAATCAAACACAGCCTGTTTCAATATGCATGCATATAAATTAACACAATGTACCTTTAATACTCTTACATTTTAAAACACAGATATAGATTGTTTTCGACAATAATTCTTAATATTATATGAAATGACATAGTGGACAAACAGAAAAACAGACAAAAAATTGGGTATACGTAATTTAAATTCGACCATGTAACATGTACATTCACGTAAATGTCCTCCATTAAATACTATCTTATCATCAACCTCGGTAACGACTCACACTACTGATCTCTTAAACAAATTTGCATGGGCCCTGTGAGTTTGAGCGAACTAAAGCTACAGTTTCCTACATCACGGCAGAGCCCCGGTAGAAGTCCGGGGTGATCCGGGAAAGACCGGGGTACGACCGGGAACAACCGGAGTACATCCGTAACTCTGCCGGCAAAGTCCGGGATGATCCGGCATTTGACCCCGGATGGAATATAATATTTAATATCACCGGGGTGGTCCGGGATGATCCGGGAAGGTATAGCTTTGCCGGCTTCATCCTTAGCTCTGTCGGGAACAACCGGGGTTATACCAGGGAAGCACTGTAGCTCTGCCCGCACAAACCGGGGATGATCCGGAGTATGAAATAGCCAGTAGAGCTACGGTAGAGCCCCGGTAGATGCCGGCAGAGCCCCGGTAACTACAGGCAGAGCCCCGGAGGATAAAGGTAGAGCTACGGTTGATCCCGGTAGAGCCCCGGCCAGCCCGGTTCATTTCAAAAGAATAACGACAATTTGCGATGAATGCATTGTTTGTATTAAAACCCTTCCCATTTCCCTTCTATCCAGTCTGGCATAAGGATTTTTCAGAAAATCATCATGAATTACTATTCTGGAACAATAAATATTATATAAAAATTATGTATCAATGTTATCATTTTCGGGCATTTTCAATCCACATGGGTTGTACCGGGGCTCTGCCTGGATCATCCTGGTCTCTGCCTTGGTCAACGGGGGCTCATCCGGCGTCATGGATGATCCGGAGCGCATCCTGGGTGGTTAGTTGGGAACTACCGTAGTGCTGCCGGGGTAAGTGTGACCGCAACAATAATTTCACCCCGGATGGTTCCGGATCATCCCGGTAACTTACCAGGATGGTCCTGGACTCTGCCGGGAGTAAGTGAGACCGCAGCTTAAGTTTGACTGTATTTGAAAACAAGAAAATATTGATTAAAAGGTAAACAACATAACACCTACATTATTTTTATTTTTCCCACAGATTTATAATACAGAATGTAATCCTCAATGTTGCTTGATTGATGTTACTGTAGTCCTAGAAATTATTTTGCTTTTTTAAATTTGCGCTTTTTGCGGTGGATATATTTCCTGCAATGTTTGTATCCGCGAAAAAGTTGCATAAATCAAATCTGCAAACATTTGTGGCCTCAACCATTATCACAATGTCATTATGATGTACTATAATGAAGTACGCATAACAACTATACTTATATGATACACATTTCAGGGTAAAATTTCCTTTTAAGAAATGATCTTCCTGTTTTTTAAGTATCCATTATTTACAGATTAAATAAAATCATATAATACAGTTTGCATACTTTGAATGACTGTAATTCTACTTGTTCAAAAAGGAAGTAGTTTTTGTTTGTTAAAAGTCTAATAGCAAATGATACCTATATGGACAAACATTTACTGTTTATTTTGAACGGTTAAAAATTATTTAATTCAAGCAATAAATTTTTTTTCGATAGTAAGGGCAATCATAAATTACACGATTATTTAACTTGATATCAAATGGAAATATCACTACTTTCAAAGAAAGAAGTCATGTGAATGAATTTTTATTTTCTGGTATCAGAGACTAATACGTCAGATTAGTATCTTATATCTTACAAATAGACTGTTTATAGGTAAAAATTTAAAGATTTTGTCAATATCGTAACTATGCCTTAGTCTTGTCTAGCAAGTGTTGAGAGAATAAAGAAATGTAATTGTGATATTAGTAATATATTTTCTTTACCCTAGCGACCTAATATTTGCGGTCTCTACTATTGCAAGACAGTTTGTCTTTGATTGCAAGAAATATTGTCTTCGCGTAAAAGGCCATCCTTATGAAAAACTCAAAATTTTGTCCTCAATCCCATACAATGTCATAAAAAAATTGGTAATTTTTATGCAGTATTAGCATCTTTTGATGAAATTTGCAATTAAATTTACTTTAGTGATCAAATTTGCAAATGGTGAAATCATGTTAAAATAAATATCATGGATGTCCTAGGAACTTAATTGCTTTTATACTAATGAGATGAATGAATGTATACATGCACATTGGACAAAAACATATCCAGCAAATATATTACTTTTTTCTGGCCTAAATAACCATTCTCACAGATGAGCCCTTCATGCAACTAGAAAATTGAAATGATCTGATAGGCCACCTGCTTGTAAAATTAGGTAGTCCTTGCCAAAACTAGGTTGTCTTGAACCAACTCGCAACTGCTAATGTTGAGACCTTGTAGATGTCCATTATTTAAGTATATCTTAATGTGATTCAAATAAAATTTGGTATGAATGGGAACTCAGATTTAAAATACTCTTAATTCTTAAATAAACAACAGATATTCCTTTCAAATGGCTGTTTAACTCTAACCTAATACATTGTACTTTCCCTGGGGATTGACTTTTGTAGCTTTTATACCTAAGCAATAAAAAATCTCGGTCTGACTTAACACAGATAAAAAACTAGTGCTTTCCTATACAATTAATCTATTAATGTGTGTTATGTTGAGCTTCAATCTACACAATTTATATATCTAAGGTTCAATGCTTCTTTTAACCTTACGACATTTTTAATGTAAAACATAAAATTGCAAAAAGATTATATCTTTAAGCATTAGAAAAAAACAGAACTTACCACAATGACTCGGGTTTAACTTCCAAAAAAATCACTTTTTTTCCCTGTGTAATAACACTTGTTAAAGTATAATCAAACACAAGGTAGCCAATAATTGTAACTCTGTCCTGTCAACCCATGTAGAACTTTTATATCACAACATTCTCAACAACGCTTTCTTTTCACGCTGAAATGAAATAACAATAATCTATATTGAATGCCAGTGCAAGCTTCTTTTTACATTGTACATTGTATATCAATACCCTATTTTTTGTTATAGTGCGTATAATATTGACATATGAATATTGGTAAAGAACATTTCATTGTTATGTATGTTTTGATCATTTTATTTGCTTTTTCAATACATGTAGCTTGGTGCTTTAAGTGAGAAAAAACGTGTTGTTTTTTACTAATGACGGCAATTTACTGGTAAATATTCAAGAGATTGGTTTCATTAATATCAACAGGCATGCGGATTTTTCTTGGAAAATTTGTGTACATGTAACACATACGGCTAGTATCTAGCCATTTATGTTTCCTTACAGACAGCAAAAAATGTTTTTGAAGGGATACCTATCAAGGTGTCCCATTTTTATTTAATCTCCAGCAATTTGCTCCAGTTCTTGAGCTTCACAAACAAGACCTGCCCATGGTCTATGTTCAATTTTTAAAACTTTATGAGAACAAATGTGTTATTCAGGTAACTTTCTAAGACAATTCTATGTTGCCAAAAAACTGCAGATTAACATACATTAACACGTACCTAATATACTTTGCTACATATTGTAATCTACATATTTTAACATTGGATACCTTTCATTAAGGTTGAAAATTTCAAATATATCATTTAAAAAAACATAACTGGGGATAAAAAACTCTTCAAGTTTTAATCAAATAACTTCAACACCTTTCAAGTTATTCTCCAAACAAGTATTATAAGGTATTGACATAAACCAGTTACTTGTATCCTAAACTCTTAACTCAGTAAATACTAGTCCTATTCTGGATTATCTGCCCTTGTTAGTACAATAGGCAAGAAACCAGACTAATATACTAATCAATTCAAAGTTTAAGGGATTTCAATATCAAAATACAAGAATTGATCTACCAAAAGATTGTAGACTGACCTGTATCTAATAACTGGTGGTAAACACTATAGTCATTTTCTAATTGCAACAGGCTATGGGTTAGAGACAGATATTTAAAAGGATAATAATAATTTGTTCATAGTGACAGTTTGTTTGATTATACTCCAATTAAAACATTCTCAAATTGTTAGGTAAGGCCAGGATAAATCAAGGTTCAAATACATAACAGCCAAAGAATTTCAAATATACCTATATTGCAGGGAATTGTAATTCCTGGTCAGATACCTTGAACTCAATCCTCACAGTCTTTTAACCATTACTGCACTAAATATCTTATCTTTCAATCTGGACAAACTTTTCATCATTTTTAGGTGAAATTTCAAAACATGTACTGACTAATTTATTAGCAAACAATGCAGACTATATACTTACAGTTGTATATATCTTATATACAACTTAATTCAAATCATGTAGTTTAGTGATTATGGTAACTGATTTAAATACAGTGCTATCAGCTGAATTGCACTTGGCAAAATACACTTTTCAGGAATAAAATGACTAGTAATGCAAGCTTATTTTTCTTGTATAATTTATGCTGTAATTGCATGTGCTAAAGGCATATTCATTAAAACAAGACCTGCCCATGGACTGTAAGTGCCATTCACTTTTCTCAGTGAAGGATAGTTCAATAAAATCTGCATAGAAAAGGGGGCATAATTCTACAAAATACTAGTATGCTTAGTAGGCTTATCTACCCTTGATAGTCAACAAGTATTTCAAGTCTGAAGTGAATACATGTACATGTACCTAATTTCAGATTCTTTTATATTAGCATGTTAATGAAAGAAATCATAAATAATTCAAGAAAATTATCTTACACATTTACAGAAAAAAATTCTATGTAAAAATAATGATCTTATGTGCAATACCGGGGAAATTCTGAAAGAAATATTTATATAAAACTATATGACTCTTGCGGAAGTCAATTTGTCTCCAGTGGCCATGAAAGTGAAACAAAATGTCAGATGTCCACCTGCAGTAATGCCTTATCCAAAATATTGAAACTTTTGTAGTACTGGAGAAAATTTTTTTCAAGTTTTTCCTATATAATTCATAAAAGCAATTTTTAAGTGTCATTCAAGCTATCATTTAACAAATGAGGTTTTATATTATAAATAAGAGCTGTTTGTAAGACTGCATGCTCATCTTTGCCATAATTATGTCAAAATTCATGAAAGAAATATATTCTCTTGCCTGGAAGTGGAGATAATGGTTATAAAAGCAATATCTCAGAAGGGTATAGAAAAACAAGTGGGGTGGTATGAAAAACAAAAGTGTGATGCCGATGCAGAAACCAAATGTAGAAACCTGGCTGAGTTACTTGACAGCCATCCCTATTACATAAATATACCCGTTATAGCTGAGATGAAATTTGACGATCATTAAGAAATAGTTCCTTTGACCTTTTTTTCTTTTTTCTATGATCAATTATAAAATTGTATAAAAAATGAAATATTAATCTTGAACAAATTTCCAACTTATATTTTTGAAGCACAAAGAACTTCTACTCTCCAACACAAAGAAAAAAACCATAAGGGCCGTCAAACCAAAACAAATCATTGAAAATCTATATCTAAAAAAAAAATATTCAAGCGCTTGTGGTTTATAACGTTAATGTTAAAAATGTTAATTATAAGCAGCCTTGAGAAAAGTTTGCACCTGAGAGTATTATATACCTTTCATTATGACTTTAGAGCACCAGATTGAGAAAAATCAATCAACCGTCTTTGACCGATATTATCATGAAAGTTAACACAAATAACAGACAAGATTTCGCAAAGCATAACGTAATAACATAAAGCATACCTGAGTATACAAAAGAAAATGAAATATAAAGTACCAAAATTAATATAATATCATACTGGCTATTATGCTTTAAAAAAATCAAAAATGCATGACTTCATTATCATAATTTTAGTCACCTGAAAAATATATCCAGTTACAATGCCCTATAAATACTCATGTTACAAACTTTGAAAAAAATCTGTCCAATAAAGAGTATAGAGTGAAAAATGTCTGTGAATTTTAAGGAGATATGAGATTAAGGTCTTACTAAACCAATTTTCTTGTAAGAAAATATGTCATATGATAACTGAATCTACCTGAGATAAGACATTAAAATTTGGAGTATTCTGTTAAGGTCATGACAAAATAATCTTGTTTTCATCTGATTTTATTCAAGTCTACAGTCTTACAAAGGGCTGGCATACTTTTTCTTTATACAGATTATCATGCCAAAATCATATTTTTTACCCGATTGAGAAACCAAACATATTCCAATCATCACTGTATTTGTTGATTTATTATGACAAAGTATTTTCACCCAAAAGGGAATTTCTTTAAATTACTTATACAAGAAAATATGATTACATTTAAGGCTATCAATAGAAGCTATTGTATTAAAGAAATAAGATATTATTCCCAACAGTAATTTTATTGCTAAATTAAAGTCACTTTTTGGAGTTTAGATGCGAGGAATTATATCTCGAAGGGGTAGTCATTCTGTTTAAATGCACTTCTTCTTAATGAGATCTATCATCCTATGAAGTTTCAAGTCCATAGATTTTACGCTTTAGGAGAAATGGCCTGGACAAAAATAAAGTATGAAAATTAACAAAGGGCAATAACTCAAAAAATAAGAAGTGCAGAGTACCAGTTCTTGTGCACTGCACTTCGGGTCATTATAAGAAGCATGCATACCAAGTTTGAAGTCAATCCAACTTATAATGACTGACTTATGCTCCGGACAAGCTTATGGGGACGCCGACGCCGACAACGACGCCTAAAACGCCGACAAAAGCAACCCCTATATGTCGCCTTTTTCAAGGCGACACAAAAATATCTTATCCGTATCATATCAGAATAATCAACAACTATGACTGAGTCAGACAGTTATTTAGAAAATCCTGTTCAGTAATTTTAAACATATTAGGTCAGTGAAAGTTGTAAATAGTATTTTTAAATATTTTTTGCCTAAAGGCAATTACTAATAACAGCTGCAGGTTGTCCTATATAATGCAACAGTTATAAACAATATACATACATAAAAATTTATATATTTTTAAGTGTTGAACTCTACATTAATTCTTTTTTTATCTCTGTGAAAAAAATTATGAAGTATGCAGGTTTTTTTCTTACTAACAAATTGACACCGATAGTCGGCGTCTTCCTCTCGGTAAAAAGCCAAGTTTTTTCCCCCAAAAAAAATCTATTTTCCTTTTGAACTGGATCAGATAAAATATTTATATGGTTTAAAATATTAATTTTCTACATTTTATCAAGGATAACCCACCAATTGTAGTAAAAAACTAAAACTGTGTCCAAAGGACACGGATGCCCCCACTGACAATATATAAATGGTATATAGTGAAAAAATCAAAAAAGGGCCATAATTCTGTTAAATTTGGTCACAGCAAAAATTCCTTCCTTTACTTCCATCTACACATTAAGGTTGTTCATCCCTTGAAGTTTAAGCAAAATCTGCCATCCGGTTTAAGAGGTGTTGCGTTCACAAAATTTCTATATGGTATATAGTGAAAAAATTAACAAAGGCCCATAATTCTGTTAAATTTCGTCGCAGCAAAAAATCCTTCCTTTACTACTATCTACACATTAAGGTTGTTCATCCCTGGAAGTTTAAGCAAAATCTGCCATCCGGTTTAAGAGGAGTTGCGTTCACAAAATTTCTATATGGTATATAGTGAAAAAATCAACAAAGGGCCATAATTCTGTTAAATTTGGTCGCAGCAAAAATTCCTTCCTTTACTTCCATCTACACATTAAGGTTGTTCATCCCTGGAAGTTTAAGCAAAATCTGCCATCCAGTTTAAGAGGAGTTGCGTTCACAAAATTTCTACATAGTATATAGTGAAAAAATCAACAAAGGGCCATAATTCTGTTAAATTTGGTCGCAGCGAAAATTCCTTCCTTTACTACCATCTACACATTAAGGTTGTTCATCCCTGGAAGTTTAAGCAAAATCTGCCATCCAGTTTAAGAGGAGTTGCGTTCACAAGATTTCAGGACGTACGGACGGACA